TGTCACAGTAAATGAGTGTGTGCCGAAATTCTAAACGAAATAATTTTTTTTTTTTTTTTTTTTTTAATTAGGAGCTGATATGAAATTTTTTAGATTTTCGTAAGGAAATCTCAACAAAGAACGTAGTACGTTTTTAAAAAAATTTCCGATGGAAATTCAGTTCCTTTACGAACCGCAGTCTGATCTGCGTAATTCGCGAAGGCACTTACTTGTGTGGATGTAATTAGCGCGAATCGGCGAGAATAGCATTGCAAATTAAGGGATTACTCCCTCGACATTCGAGCTAATTGCCTAAAACCCTTTGCGTTGCCAATTATAACCGGGGGAGCCGCTTCCGTGGTTTCCATTGATTGGCCATTTTCTCGGGCTGAGCGCGTAAATATTTCTTTGCCCCAGTTTTCGGCCGAGGCCACGATCAGCTGGCGTTCCCGTTTCGAAAAGCCAATGGAAGAAAATGAAACGCGGAAACTCGGCGTCTGAATTTAATTAAAAATTTTATCGCGTATCGGTTAACCCCCGTTGCAATTTTCATTCCGTTGGAAATTTCATCGTGTTCTCGCGCACATTTGGAAAATCTCGGAGCAGCTAACGAGAAAAATTTTCTTCCTCTCTTGTTCCCTTCATTCCTTCTTATTTGTTCTCTCTTCTTTTCTTCTTTTTTCTTTTTAAATCAGCATGTTTCTTAGCCGTGTATTCTCTCGGGTCAGAGAATTTTCACACGTGGGCCTACGAAGCTATCCAAAGTTGAACACCGGCATTGGCATTTGACTTTCAAGCTGAATATTTCCTTTCGCTTGAGCTGTTTTCTCCCCGAAATCTTCGATCTTTTAATGGTCAGCTTAACTGGGCAGCTAAACCCCTTTCGGTTGGACAGCTTAACGCCGAGAAGCCCACCCACCTCGAATTATTCGATAACGAGAAAGCTTTGAACTTTACGTAGACGTAGGTTCAACGCTGAACGTACTTTGACTCCGGGAGACTGGAGTGTCGAAAGGATCAAACCTCGAAAATTCAACGTCAAAAAGCCTCGAAAATTTAGTGTAGGTATCTCACTTAAAAAGGTTCAACTGGTTGAAGAATATTAAAAAATGCAGTACTGAAAGAAAAATAACTACTCTTTGTATAATGTATATTTAACAGGATAACGCGTCAAATTAAATTCTTTTAGTTAGATTCATCATTAATATGCCAAAGAACTACCCTCTTTCATTTTTCTATGAATTACTCTGTCACGTATTTGCGGACATTGCGTATTTTCTAAATAAATAGCGAGGAACACGATAGTTCACCGTAAAATTATCTGTCATCGTTAAATCACAGAGACACCTGATTCGTTTCTTTTTTGCAGAGCAACTATTTCGACTGCGACGACGATTTCGGCGACGCGAGAACGGAATTGGCCGCGGGTACACCGATTCTGCTGGACCACGCTCTGTCACATCCATTGACGTGTTCCATACAGTAGCAGCCGAATATCACGTCCCGATTACGAGATTACGTTAGCCTGTTCTGGCATCTGACGAACCGGAAGTCATCGAGCTGTCGAGGATCCATCGGGAACGACGAAACCAGAACAAATTGGGAGATGTTCGACACGTGTATCTCGACTCTCCGGAAACTCCCCAAGATCGTGAAGATCGTGAAGATCGTGCGAACGAAGGAAAACGAGCGGGAAGAGATGAATTTTCAACTTCTCGCTTCTCGAGTTCCAGTTTCGTAGAGAGAGAATGAAAAAAAAAAAGAATGCTTCCATTGCGCCGAGAAAGTCTGCACGAAGATCCTGACCATCTCCATCGATAAATGCTTCTGACAGATGTTCGCGCGCGCGTCTTCTTCTAGCGTTGATATTGCGTTCGTTAAGTTTCTTCGACTCCGCGTAGATCGTAATCGATTGCGTGTAATGTACAGGAAACAGGAAAGGTGGAAACGCGTTCTAATAACCCTAAGATTTTGTATATTTCGATTGCGTTCAATTGTAAAACCGTATGTTCACGTGAGAGTTTGCACGAAGTTTCAATCATGATTAAGAGCAGAGGAGCTTCCGAGAAAAAAAAAGAGATTCATTCAATCATCGATTCTTCTTTCATGAGAATGAGACACGGTATTATATTGTAACGATAATTTAAAAAAAAAAAAAAAAAAAAAAAAAA